AAGAGGGCTGTGACATCGAAGGAAGTCATGCTTTTGTTTTTAACATTCAGGTTGGAAATTCGGGAGAGAAGGTCACCTGAGTGTTTGAGGTGGGCTTGAACTGATGGTGCCCAGAAGCGCTGAAAGGTATTTGGCAAGGTGGCCGGCTAGTCTGTGTGGTGCACTCCCTATGCCCGAAGTGATAGGCCGTAGTGGGATGCCAGGTTTGTGTGTCTTAGGAAGGCCATACAGGCGTGCTGGTTTTCGGTTGACCTGGTAAAAGGTTTAAGTAGTTTTTTGCCTTGTTCTGATTTTCGTAAGATGCTACTTCAAAGTACCCAGACTTTCCTTCAAAAGGCTCGTAGCATCTTACGAAAATCAGAACAAGGCACCGAAACGTTTTCTAATAAATATGTTATAGTGTTTGCTTACGTGTCTTTCTAAACCATGTGAAAAATTACCTTGAAAGCTATAATCCAGTGCAAAAGAAATTTATAAAAATATAACTACCAACCTATCAGTGATGTTATTTGGTGCCTTGTAAAATGTGTGATGACTTTTATCTAGAACAAACGGAAACCACCTAAGACCGGAATTAAACTGTAATATCTTATAACTATTGGACACTAGTGCTTTATACGTCATCTTAAGAACACACCGTTGTGCAAACTGGACTAAAACCAAAAATATTAGTTCATTGTAATATTGTAAGAATGTCATAGGCATCTACCTGAATAGCGCTTCTTTTGATAATAATAATAATAATAATAATAATGTAATAACACCTTAATTATTCACTCTCAGTATCACAGGTTTTCCTTTAATCTTTCCTCGTATCTTTGAGAATTGGTCTGAACATAGGTGATAAATGTACTCTAATTCCTCCTTGCTCAACTTTCTGAAGGCTGTTATTGCATTTCCTAATCAGTAATTATATATATGTAGAATGTAAGGTAATAATTCCGAACACCAGCTTAAACTCTGTATATTGTGGAAACTTGAGTTAGATTACGATTACCTTAATATTATAATATTAAAATGTCTCTCTCAGGGTTTTACTCTGTATATAAAATGTTAGGTTGGAGTGAGATAGGCTGGTTAATGTATAAGAGGGCTGTGTGACCTTTACGGGTTTTAGCGCTTAATTTGATTATAGCAAAAAATGTATAGTTTCTAATTGAAAACTACCTTAAAACTCTTGGCTTAACTCGTGTATAGGTGTAGCAGAATGATGGATTGGGATGGGATAAAAAAAGGTCGTATGGGTTATATTTAGTTTATTGGTAAATATTCAATATCGGTATATATATGGAAAAATAAAAAATGTAAATAGGTATATTTTTTGTGGGGTTTTAAATTTTAGGGTAAATACTGGAAATGACGTGAATTTATTTAAAATATATATAGGAAAAATTATAGTAATTTGGTATAAATATTTCTGAGAGTTTGGGGACGGTGGGGTAGGTGATGGGATGTCATGGCATTCATAACAAGATGATGGAGTTGATTTTAATTTTACTATTTGTAAATATGATAACCCAAATATTAGCAGTTGTGCAATTCTTGTGAGGTGGTGCCTGAGTCACCCTACAGGTTGTGCCCTACACACAGGCCGAACCATACAGGATTTTTACTCCTACCGGAGTTGGTTTATGGTATAAGTTACATCATACTTACATTGTCTTCTACCTATATTTAATTATATCAAATAAATATGCATTCGATTTGTTAGTATTTGGAAAGGAAAGGGGGGGGAGGGGGAAAATCGATGAAGGGAGGGTGAGAGTGCATCCTTGATAAAGCCAGCGACAGATTTTCCTGCTTACAGTATTGTCATTTTGCGAGGAATATCCCTTTTCCCTTGCTTGTTTATTGCCTTAATCTGATAATTGTTTGATATATATTGCGTTGGTTTAAGAAATCTGTTACGAAGCTTTTTTGAAAAAATCAGAGGAAAAGTGCTCATCAGTTTTGTTTTTGGTCACAGCCGTGTATGAGGAGGTGCTTAGCTGGAAAGTCTTGTTGTAAGAAGTAGGAAAGTTGTGCTCCTGAGTGATTGAATTATAAATACTGAAACCCCTGAATTCTTAAATTAAAACAGTTATACACCAATATGCTTGTATTTTAAGGGGGTTCAGTTTTTTTTAAATGTTAAACTTCGCTGAATTTAACCTGATCAAATTACGGTGAAGACTTAAGTTCAAACCAACATAGAGAATAGTACTGTACGTGATTTTGAAAAGCATGTGAGCCTGTCTTTGTTTTTGTACTGGTAGGAATGATGTTTCTGCATTGAACATTAAATTGTTGCTCCTGAAAATCCGTGACCTCGGGTAAATGGATTTGTTCATTGGTGCCAAACCACTATGGCAGGAGCGCGGTAAAAACTGACGTTTAAGGACGCATGGGACGGAGAGTTACCACTGGCCCTCTGGTCGGCTATGACAGTGCGATCACTGGCTTACGCATGTGGATAGTTGGTTGAATAGATAGTAAAAACAAAAAAAATGTTCACCCTTTGCAAAAAATTAACCAAAAAAGGTGAAATAATAAAAAAACTATTAAAAGCTAACATCGGATAACAATCTTCCAGTTGGCTAAGAAAAATAGCACAATTTTCAACGGTGACAATTCCAACTGCTTTGATATGGGCAGAACTCGAAACAAGTTAGGAAAGAAGGATCAGGAAAAATGCCTAATATGAGATTATTAACCGCCAGTAAACAATCGATAAAGTATCTTAACTTCTAGGAGTATCGTATCTCAAAGCATTATGCTTGCTCTCTTCGAAACGGTTAAGAGATACTACCGTAGTTCTTATATATGCATGGAAAATATTTGATGGTCAGGTTCCTAATGTAAACTACCATAATATATTGAAGGGGTTTTTAAAATGGCTTTAAAGTGTAGAATAAAACCCGTGGAATGAAGGGGTCAGCATTTATGGAGAGGAGGGTCAAATATTGATTGAGAGGGTCAGCATCTGTTCACGACTCAAGACTCGCTGTCAGCGGGCGTACATACCCTCACGAATACAAAGGTGAAGGAGATGTTTGAGTGCCAGTTTCCGTAAAGGGCAGTTTAAACCCGAAACTACTACAACAGCCACATCAGAGAAAGACAACAGTAAAAGACCAAGTGATTAGACAGAAAAAAAGGGAGAACTCACGAAAAATTACAGAAATTTACGAAGTATTGAACAAACGTTTTAAAGGTTTTTCAGTGGGAAACGGGCCATACCAAAAATCATACAGATAGGTACGAATTCCACATACACAACGGGATAGGGTAAAAAAAAAAAAGATTGACCTGGATATATCAGAGGTGATGGGACCTAACACGGTGTCACTATGGATTCTGTGCGAGGGAACAGAAACACTAAACCACTAGTTAAGAGCTACAACAAAATCACTGGACACTGGATATTTGCCAGGTAAACTGAAAAACATGCAGGAATCGTTGAACTACACAATTTCAATAAAATGCATAAGTGGTTGCTTGAATTCATACTGCAAATACAAAGGGTTTTGAAGGTAAGGAAGGGGGCCCGAACCAGACACTTAGGGGTGTGTGTTTTATATATATATAATATATATATATTTATATATATATATATATATATATATATATATATATATATATATACATATAATATACTTTTATATATATATGTATGCCAAATAGGTAAAACTGGTCAGTTAGCAAGAACTCGTTTAAAATTAAGTCCTTTCTAAAAAAAATTCTCTTATACGTTTTAAAAATATTTTTTTTATTATGTTGATGTAAAAAATTAATAATTTTGTACCAAAAGAACCTTAGTAAACTTACCTAACCCTTTTTATAAAAAGCGCAGTTTAATTTTTGCCTAATCCAACTAAATATACTTTAGATAAGTTTAGTAATTTAATAAACACAAATATATTATTTTCGTTAGGTTCAGAATGATTTTTGCTAAATTAATGCATACACAAATTTTTTTGTTTGCCTTATTCGGCAAGAAGAGCGTTGCTATTTAAGCCAAAAAATTTCAAGTTTTACCTATTCGGTGCTGTATAGCCCTTGTGGCTTAGCGCTTCTTTTTTATTTAATAATCACCTATTCGGCACGACAATATTAAAATATATATATATATATTTTATATTAAAATTTTTATTACACACACACACGCGCCAAATGCGAAATCATAAAGATCGGAGAAGGGCAAAGAAGACCGCAGACACAGTAAAGTCTAGGGGGCCCAAGATGCAAACCTCACTCAAGGAAAAAGATTTTTGGGGACTAGTATAATACTGAGCACATCTGAGGCGCACATCAGTCGATAACTGCTGCAGCGTACGGGCTTCTGGCAAACCCAAGGATAGGATAGCGTTCCGATACCTCAGTAAGGAAACGTTCAAGATCTGTTACACCATATACGCCAGGCCCATACTGGAGTATGCAGCACCAGTTTGGATCCACACCTGGTCAAGCACGTCAAGGAATTAGAATGCAAAGGTTTGCAAAAGACTAGTCCCAGAGCTAAAGGGATGTCCTGCGAAGGAAGGTTAAGGGTAATTGGCCTGACGACACTGGAGAACAGGAGGGTCAGGGGGACATGATAACGACATGTAAAATACCGCGCAGAATAGACAAGGTGGACAAAGACAGGATATTCCAGAGATGGGACACACAAACAAGGGGTCACAATCGGAAGTGGAAGACTCAGATGAGTCAAAAGGATGTTAGGAAGTATTTCGTCAGTCATACAGTTGTCAGGCAGTTGAATGGCCTAGAAAGTGACGTAGTGGGGGCGGGAACCATACATAGTTTTAAGACGAGGTTTAATAAAAACTCATGGAGCAGGGAGAGAGAGGACCCAGTAGCAATCAGTGAAGAGGCGAGGGCCAGGAGCTATGACTTGACCCCTGCAAAACCCCAAATAGGTAGCACACACACACATTTATTTCCAGAAGAAACGGAGAAGTCCTCAAGATAAGGTCATGCAGGATGTGTCAGTGCAACCAACTTGTGATAGCCTTGTGAAGTTTGGTGAATCAGATTGTCACCAGGGAAGCCCAGATGTATTGTGCGTGGCGGGCAAGCAAACAAGGAGCGAGAGAGAACGAGATCATAGCGAGGAATGAATTGTTTCACACTGTGTATTTAAGTGTTGACCTTTGGCATACGAGTTAGTTTGTTTTGTTATTCAGCCTGACTTACGTTGAAGGTGAGCATTCAACAGCAACACTCGGTATCCCTCGCCTCTTACCCTGTGGTTAGTCATACTTTTTGGAACCAGCCGGCTGGTTAAAATAGTTTGGTATCAATTGTCCAACCGTCCGTTTCTTTTGTTTTGCGATGAACCATATTTGTAGTGTTGCCTTATTATTATTTATTTGTTAATATTACCATAACACTTAAAATAAGACGAATATATACTAAGGAACAGGATCTTCAAACGACACGATTTAAATTGCTTTAACATAAATCGAGAGCTTTAGAGAATTAAGGAAAGAACTTGTTGTTAAACCTTTTTCACAGAATTGATTGGCCCGGGCCGGGAGAATACCGGCGAATCTTTAATAATAATAATGATTGAACAGGTAAGAACTGGTTATAATTATAACCTTTATTTTTAAAGAGGTGGATCGGTCACATGACCAAAAGCTCCAGCGGCGGGTCATCATATGACTGAGACCCGCGTCAGGTAACAATAGTCCTGTTTTCTGACAAACCTTTTATTTGTAAAAACCATACCCCCGGCCGGGATTGAACCCGCGGTCATCGAGTCTCAAAACTCCAGCCCGTCGCGTTAGCCACTAGACCAGCTAGCCACAATAAGATTCATCCAACTAGGATGTCATGTTGACGGCAGTGAAGGGACTTGAGCTAGAGTTTGTCACGGCCACGCTAGCTGGAGATTCGTCTGTAAAAACTTGCATTTGTGGTCACAGTGGTGCCTGTGCTAACCTTCCTATGGTGTAGAAATATACCTAGTTGGATGAATCTTATTGTGGCTAGCTGGTCTAGTGGCTAACGCGACGGGCTGGAGTTTTGAGACTCTATGACCGCAGGTTCAATCCCGGCCGGGGGTATGGTTTGTTTGCAATCGTGTCATTACGATTTCTTGAGTCTTTTATTTGTATTTTGGTGCCGTATGACTGGTAGGTTTAGCGCTTCTTATTAAAATTGTATTTTGATGGAACAGGTAAAGGTTGGCCAGATCTTTGCTTCTGGCCAAATGGCTCATTACCTGTATGGGTTTAGCAAGTTCTCTAAATTTTCATCTCTAAACCGTGTTAGCTGTGTATAGTATTATTTGTTTTGACTCACCTTACCTGCACCACTTAAGCTCGCACAGCAAACTTCACTGTATATGAACTGGTGTTTTGTAGCCAGTGTCAAGTATTTTAACATGTAACTTTTGCACCTACTTTCTGTCATATACTCATACTATTATTGACAGTTAACTCAGGTTATTTCCATCAGTTTCATTACCTATTGACTTTCAACGTTTTATATATATATATATATATATATATATATATATATATATATATATATATATATGTGTGTGTGTGTGTGTGTGTCGTGCCGAATAGGCAGAACTTGCGATCTTGGCTTAAATAGCAACGTTCTTCTTGCCGAAAAAGGCTAATTGACCAGTTTTACCTATTCGGCACGACACACACACACACACACACACACATATTTAGGGTGAGTTAGTATAATTTTTCTTGCTCTTCAGTGACTGATTATTAAGTTGGCTGAATTATGAGTCCATTGTGGACCTGCCTCGTATAGGCCAGTAGTCCTGTTGTAGTGTTCCTTCTTTCTTATGTTCTTAATTTTCTTTGCAGATGGCTAATCAGTAGACATCACCAGCCCACTGCCAGCCTACCCGTACCCTTTGTGCCTATATCTCAGTTGCCCTCCATACCCAGTTTTTAGCTTTTATATAAATCATTACTAATTTAGTTTTATAGTTACATAAATTAACACTTTGCTGCTGCAGGAAAACAAGGCACAAACAATATGACGAAACATATAATGCTAAATTTATTTGTTTTAGAAAAGAACATCCAGTACTGTACTTCTAATTATTAATGTATGTTCAGAGAACCTGTTGGGATCATATATTACAAGCTGGACTTTTTATTTTTTTACAGCCTCTTTTCATAGGGCTACCTTTGAAGTCCTATTTTTTAGCAGTAGACATTAAAGAATATACATTTATTTGTGTAGCACTGTTATTATAACATTTGCAAGCTATTCACAAAATACACGCATTCTCCTCGTGCTGAATTTGTGAATCCTGTTCTCTGGGGATTTTTTATATTTTATTAGTACTTTTAAACATTATAGTATTAGAATCCTTTTGAGTTATTACTTCACGAATCTCACCCCCGAGTCACATTTATATTGCGTGTGGTTTGTCTGAAAAGTGAACTAGGATGGCAGGGTTGAGTATACGCACGAGGTTTGGCTACGGGGTGGGTCATGTGCTTAATGACCTTTGCTCGGCTATGTGGTTCACCTACCTCCTCATATATTTCCACCATGTGCTGCTCTTCGACAACTCACTAGCAGGAGTGGTTCTCCTGATTGGTCAGGTAAGCAAACTGAGAAATTAAAAGTATTTTTCATATTCCCTCAAGGGAAGTGTCTTGATGTCCGAGACGATGGGGGGGGGGGGGCTCAGGTTCAAGGAATTGGACATTTATTGAATTGAACCTGATTTCCTCTCATTCCCCCTGGCGCTGTATGACCCCTATGGGTTTAGTACTGCCCTATGTTATTTTTCATATTCATTTTAATGTAATTTGAGTTATATGTATAATTACCTACTTGTAACTATGAAACTAGAGGAGCAATGCTCTTGGTTATCATGGAGACTTAAGAAGTTGATCAGTGAGGACTTGGGGATTTCGTAAGTCATTGCTACAGTATATTTCTGAATAGGGAAATAATTGATTTGGGCAGGCTGGCTCCAAGACAGTTGCAGTGAACGGGAAATATTCATGTTCAGCTGCCCGAGTTGGAGATGCTTGCTGCTAGGTCAAAAACTACAGAACAGTCAGACCTTGAAGTCATACAGTGAACTAGTCGGTGGAGACCGAGAACTCCACATCGTCTTGAAATTTTGGAGATTTCAAGTTCCTTAGTAATATAGATGTGAAATTTTCTATACACGAAATTCATTTTACAGTCAACAGATGCATAATTAGGACCAAATGCATATAAGACCCAAATCCATGCTACATGTTTTTTAACTATTAACAGTTTAGCTAAAACAGCAGTTTTCTCAGATAAAAGGCAGGCAGAATGGAAAGGCGGTAGGCAGGGGATGGCAGTTACCTTGTGGCATTGTGATTCAGTGCCACGCTGACGTTGAATGTATGCATCACTTAAAGAGTCCATTAGCTGTAATGTGCAGGTCTGTCCAGACTACATCCAAAGTATACCACAAGAAGGTTAAGGCTGTGGTTTTAAGACGATTAGACCATTTGTTAAAGTGTTTGACACAATGAATAGAGGGTGTTGAGTGTTCTTGTGTGAGCAAAGTGTTACACGTAACAGAGAATCGATTACTTTAGAATGCCTTGTAGGAAGATTCAGTAGCCCGAGACAGTACCATACTTTATACAGATTCACTAAATTTATGCTGATTGAGAGTTTGGAGAAAAAGGTATTCAGGATCATATCCAACACGCCCAGAACAAATAGAACATTATAATCTTTAAATGGCTTGTACCATGTAAACTATTTTTTTTAGCTGTTCCTATATAGGTTATTGATGGGAGAACAATTAGTACCCAGGCCCATGGCCGGGCTCCGGGAGTACACTTAAAACTCATCAAAGGTATGTATAAAGGTATAAGGTATGTTGTACAGTATTAATAAAAATATTACGTAAATGTAATACATACATACCACTACTTTTATCGATGATATTTTTTAGCTTTAGTATTTTGATTTGTGTATCAGTAAATACAGCATAAATTTCCTGTGTATTTATAGCTTTGAATATACATGAGTCTGAATACCTTCCATTCCCCTCTCCCACATGCGCTGTATAATCCTATGGGTTTAGCACTCCCCCATGATTATAATAATAATAATGAATATACATGCAACTAAGGTCCACCTGTGAATTTATGAATATAAAGTGAAGGGAGTTATAGGAAGGGATGTAACTTATACAGTACTCTTAAATAAATTATCCAATTTATAGTACTGTATAATATTATCCAGATTTTTTAATATACCAAAAGGTAATTAAATATAATATTTCAGCGTAGTTGACATGTTTGTTTATTAATACTATTAATTTACATAAAAATTAAACTTTTTATTTCTCATGAGTCATACAAAGATTGAAGTAGATATACATAATTTGATACAGAAGTAGGTACAAAAAAGGCACTATTATGCAATGCAGGTGTCGTATAACCCTTGGTAGAGTAATTGATACCAAACAGTGGTATAAAAAGACATGAGCAAACACTAGGACATATTTATCAGAAAACATTTTGGTTCTGGGACCTTGATCACTTCTAAGTTATAATCTTTGAAGTTAAAAGCTCTCGTTTTCCCTTAAACTGCTTGTCTGCAGGTGTCAGGCATGAGCTTGATGATAAATAACATACGTACCAATTTATAGAATTGTTTTAAAATTTATACAAATTAATTACTTAGTGTCCACTTTTCTTAACGGGCACATGTAATACGTGTGTGTGTGTGTGTGTATGTATTATATATATATATGGTAAACTTTATTATTATTATCGTAATCAGGGGAAGAGCTAAACCTGTAAGGTCATTTAACACCTGGGGAATTGGAGACAAGTGGGTTTCATCCAAGGAAGGGGAGGATAGGTCCAGTCCCATGGGTCAGTAGCCACACACTGACATGCAGGCGCCTCCCTTGAAGATTATGGTACACATGAATGATTACCTATTGTGTAGTCAGCATCTTGCTGGCTACACAATCGTGTGCAGTTTGTTGGTGCCCATTTTACTTTAATGTTCCCTACAATTCACTTTCCCAACGATCTTACTCAAAAGGAATGCAATAAAAAGATACTCCTTTCTGCTACCTTCTGTTTGAACAGCCAGCAGCACAGCAGATATCAAGCATCTCAAAATCCTTTAAGTAAATGCTGTTTGCTGCTACAACCGATGGATAAATATATCACTGACACCTTTTACTACCAATATGGCATACATTTACCTTGCACTGTAACATGCAAACTCTCTACACAGTATTTGCATTTTTAATGCCTTGTGAGTACTGTAATATTTGTCATGATTAAATTAATATACAGCACAGGACATATTTGTTAAATGATACATTGTGTGGAAAACAATTTCCCAAAATTATGCTGTATATTTTTTATAAGGTAAATTATACCTGATTAATACATTACTATTGCTCTAAAGTGTATTTTAAAGAAGAGAACCGAGAGGGAAGCTCTGCGCCTGCACTGACAAGCATGGGGGAGACGCCATTGTTTTGAATGTGGTACAGGCACGTTAGTGAAATGTGCATAAAGTTTCGTCACTCTAGGGGTTATATTGGGCTTAAACCTCTCAAATAGGAGTCAAAATTTTTGGATTTGCAGTCCTACATAACGTGAGCATTAAGCAGATGGACAGGACAGCTTTGGAACCCCAGCTAAGTTGTCTATTTATGTTGAGAGTCTGGCCAGTATTTTCTTCATAATTTAGGCAGGGGGGTTGGTATGACACACCGTAATCTCCAGACTAATTGACGAGTCTTATTATTATAAATTCTCCTTCAATGTATGTGTATTCACATTTTAAATTTAATATACAGTCCACATATTTATATTAATATTTTTACCAGAATTCCTGATGTATATTTCATTTGAAATTATAGGTCCAGAGTGACTTGTGGATATGACAGTAGTAGGTATCAAAGGGGGACATTTTTTGCGACCTAGGTGTCCTAAAATGCCTACTTGTCTCTGTAACCTTGATAAAGAATAATTATCATTTACTGGTATGTATCTAATGAGATTCACCCAGATAAATTTAATTTTCCACACATTGAAATTTTTTCAATAGGTGGCAGATGGGCTGTCCACACCATTTGTTGGTAGAGAAGCAGATCGTACAGATGACATGCTCTTTTGTTCACGTTATGGTCGCAGAAAGTCATGGCATCTCTTAGGTAAGTGTGAAGAGTATAACTTAGATATGCTTTCCATTGCTGACTTTTTTTTTAGGCTACTTTTCTTTTCTTTACCCTGAGACACTGTGAAGGGTTGAGTTGAAGCTCCTAACTTTGATAATAATATTTATGTGGAAGAATAAACTGTAATGGTCATAATGTGCCTGGGGGAAAGGAAAAAAGGGAAGGGTTATTTCCAGCCCCTTGGGTTCAAGAGCCTTTTCCCAGCAATCAAAATTTTTGGGCTTGGTATTCAAAAAGGTTATTTTTTTTTTTTACTGGTATTTTAATTTTTTGGGCACCGCCCCCATAATTGCCCCTTCGGAATGTTTCCGTTATGTTAAAATTTCTTTTTCCCTCGTTTCCCGTTTTCCCCGGTTATTTTTCTTTATTTTTCCCTTTTTCATTCTTCAATCTCCTTTTTTGGGTCATTATTTTTTTTTGTGTGGTATCTTTGTCATTTTTTAATGCTAGGTTACGCTCCCATAAAAGTGCATATTTTACCTCCAAAATTTTTTTTTTTTTTCTCAACAAGTCGGCCGTCTCCCGAGGCAGGGGGGCCCCCAAAAAAGAAAGAAAACCCCCAAAAAAGAAAAATACTTTAAATTCACCCATTAAAAAATTTTCCCCACACCCCAACATTATCACTGTTTTTCCCAGAGGTCCCGGGGAATAAAAACAGTTTAGAAGCATTCATATAAAAAATTCACAACATATCCCCCCAAAACGGGCCAATATCCCAAACCCCCCCCTTTAAAGTGCAGGAATTGTACTTCCATTTAAAGGCTCAAGCCCCGATTTACAGTGGACCCCCCCCCATAGCGTTTTTTAACCCGTGCAAGAGGGCTCTTGTTAGCGAAATGATCGGTAGGGAAATAAATTTTTCCCCATAAAAAATTAATGGAAATCAAAATTTAAACGTGCCCAAAACACCCAAAAGTATGAAAAAAAAAAATTTTACCCCCAGGGAAAAATACATTTTTCCCAACACAAAGAAAGGATACATGCACAATATAGAGTAGTACATTTCACAGTATATATTTTTTTTCATGGGATAGTCTACTAAATGAAAATAAATGGCACTTTTCCTTTATTGAAGATGCAAACAAGGGCTGATGAGACATGTGTCCTGGGAGTGCCTTTTCCCCCCCTGATTTTGTTTTGGTCCGTTTTGGGAAAATTTTTTTCGACAGGCCTTTTTCACACTGTGTATGTCACTTGATTCTTAAATCTCTCGAACCAACCTTTGTGGCTTTTAAAATTTACCCTTTTTAGAAAATAGTTCCAGGCATTTTTCCCTGGTTTACCTGGGGGTTAGTCGATGGTGTGGGTTGCACCTGGGAGACAAGGGTTAAGGAAACCCCAAAGAAAAAAAGTTAGACAGTCTTGATGACACGGGCTTTTTTTGGGTTATCCTGGGGGGCAAAACCTCTGGGGTTTTTAAATTTTTTCTTTTGGGATTCTCAATAAAACCACACCAACAACGGTGCTACAGCAGCAGAGCAAAATGACGGTGGGAAAAAGCAGCAACAGACGATTGCTACAGCAGCAACAGACGATGTACGCAGCAGCAGCAAAAGCTTCAGCAGCCCAAAAGACGATGCTACAGCAGCCCGCGACGGGTGCTACGCAGGCAAAGAAAGATGCTACAGCCCGCAGCGGACCCATGATACGCACCAGCAGACGATGCTACAAAACAGCGCAAGGAGATTGCTACAAGGGGCACAGCGGGGACTACAGCAGCAGCAGCAGCTGAGGTGGTTTCAACAGCAGAAACCCGCTGGGCAGGCAGCAGCAGCTGACGGTGGTACAGAGCAGCAGCAGCTGTAAACCACCAATAGTAGCGATGGTTGATTGGGGTTTCTTGTACAACCTGACCAGGTCGGCGATACGCACTCCACTTTCATACTATCAATGATCTTTTTTCTTCATCTCTATTGGAAATTTTCCCCCCTTATTGCTGTTTGGGTTGCACTAGAAGCTTTCTTGGGGCCCATGGTCACTTATTTTCCAGAGAAAATCACCCAAAAAAAATGTAATAATACGAAATGTTCCGATTGTATGCTTGGATGTTACCGCGGAGGCTGGCTGGTAAACAATGGCACGGGCGGCACATGTGAGGCTGGCTGAGGGCGCACATTGGACGCGTCTCGGACGAACAGCGGGTGAGCGGGTTTTTAAGCGGTATGCGAGGCAAAATTTTTGCGATTAAAGCAAGCGGTATGCGGATTAATCGTTATGTGATGCCAACGGTATGCGGGGGTCCACTGTATATGAAAATAACCGGTTTCCCTGAATCCCTTCACTAAATATTACTCTGCTCACACTCCAACAGATCGTCAGGTCCCAAGTACTATTCGTCTCCATTCACTCCTATCTAACACGCTCACGCACGCTTGCTGGAAGTCCAAGCCCCTCACCCACAAAACCTCCTTTACCCCCTCTCTCCAACTCTTTCGAGGACGACCCCTACCCCGCCTTCCTTCCCCTATAGATTTATATGCTTTCCATGTCATTCTACTTAGAGAGAATGGATCAAAATGGCCAAACCAACTCAACAACCCCTCTTCTGCCCTCTGACTAATACTTTTATTAGCTCCACACCTTTTCCTAATTTCCACACTCCGAATTTTCTGCATTAATATTTACACCCCCCTTGCCCATAAACAGGACATCTCCACTGCCTCCAACCGTCTCCTCGCTGCTGCATTTACCACCCAAGCTTCACACCCATATAAGAGTGTTGGTACTACTATACTTTCATACATTCGCTTCTTTGCCTCCATAGGTAACGTTTTTTGACTCCACATATACCTCAACGCACCCCTCACCTTTTTTTTCCCCCATCAATTCTACGATTAACCCCATCCTTCATAAATCCATCCACCGACACGTCAACTCCCAAGTATCTGAAACATTCACTTCTTCCATATCCTCCTCCCAAATTTGAAAACC